ATATAAATAATTCAGTTTAAGTAGTGTTCGATCGACGTTCACCTATAATTGTGTCACATCTCACATATAGTGCGTTTAAAAAAGTTTCAGTTTATTTTTATATGGATTTTAAATATTATATAGGTAGTACCAATCATTTAAAATTTAACGGAAATTTATAATTCGTACCATATTTTGAATTATTTAAATAAGTGCTTTTGTATAATATTGTTCGAAATTGAAAATGTCAACAATTCAACATCGCAGTTTATTATAATCAATTGTGTAGGTTTTTTTGTTTTCTTTTTGGATTTTAATTGTTTGATACGCCAACAAATTTGCATACTCGTGTCATAAAAAAGGTGTTTTAATCTTCATTGTGTTGCATCACTTACATCCCTATATTAGGAGTGAAGAGTAGGTAGGTACTAGGTACTTAACTTACACATTCTAGACCCTGAGCTTGAGTAAATACTTAAATAGATAGCTTAATATGAGCACGCGGCTCTGCTCTTATGAATAGAAATTGTGATTTGCGTAATTGTTTATAACTGTTTTATGATTAATTTTGTAGCTGGGGCTTGTTGGTATGTTATGTAAACGATTTTTCTGCTGTATGTACGGATGAGCTGAGTCGATTGGTAAAAGACTTTCATGAATTTGAATCTCGAGGTATAAAAATGTTGGCTATGTCTTGTGATTCTATTGATTCTCACATTAAATGGATAGAGGTAAATATAATATATTATATTACAAATTATTGTTGAGCAAAAATATATTATATAATTACCATAGTTTATAATGCCAAATGTGTTTAGTAAAAAAATACCTTACCTATTTATACACTATTTAAATTTAAAACAATAAATTATACGTATACCTACCTATAGGCTATAGRCTATAATTAAGGTAAAATACCATAATTAAAAATATTTGGACATTATTAAATATTATAGAGGACAGASGTTATAGTGTTCTAATTAATTTTTAATATCTATTTAYTAAGGATATAAAGAAAGTGAGTGGAATGAAATTTGACGAAGAATTTCCATTTCCAATTGTGTCAGATCGTAATCGTATGATTTCCTTATACTTGAACGTATTGAATGCAAAATGCATCGATGAAGACGGCATACCTTTACCATGCAGAGCAGCATTTGTTTTGGCACCTGACATGACCATCCAACTCATACATTTTTACCCTGAAAACATTGGACGTAACTTCGAGTAACCTATCTTTTTTACTTGTTTGAAACTTAATTGACCGAAACAATTTTTTACTTTTTAGTGAAATTTTTAGAACCATTGATGCATTACAGCTGACTTTCAAATTCAGCAACGACTTATTTACTCCTTGCGGGTGGAAAGTATGTATCTACAGTTTATTATAAAATATAAACGTCTTAATTATTTATTAAGTGATAAAAAAATTTAATCCTTTGAGATATACCTTAAGRCCTTAAACTTATATGCTTAAAGTAACTAGCCGGCTAGCCATACCTTTTATTTTTAAAAAGAAAAATTTGTATTATATTTTTACGTATGTTAGCACCTAGTATCACTGGTGATGGGTAAAGTACTTTACTCGTTGTCGTTATTTGATTATAATTATAACAAAATTATTACTTYGCCTTTCCATTTTCATGTGACAAAAAAAAGATAGTCCACATATTTGTCTAATTTCTTAAAAACCACCATTCAAAAAACAAATAAAATTAGTKTAACATATTAACTATAGATATAATTTGAATAAGATGTAAAAAAATCTAAAAATTTAAACATTATTACAAACTATACAAAATAATAATTGATTTTTACAATTCTAATACATTAATGTCAATTTGTAATAAAAAAAAATATATAAAACCTGCAGTAAACGTGGCTCGTAAGAAACATTTTGAGTATTTCAGCAAAAGCTAATTACATTATTTAATTATCTTTTCTCACACCTACTTCACGGTGCAAGTACTCGTTTTCCTAACTATTTAAAATTMAATTGGGACAAATTACAATAAATACACATACACAAACCCAATATAAATCAAAAACATTTATAATTTATATGGTACAAAGTACTTGGGTAGTAGGTAACTATAGTTATTATAATTCCTATAATACAATAAAATTTCCTACATTTTTTTTATTATGACTCAATTCTAGAAACCAATTTGAAAACATASATATAATATATGATCTATGGTCAAAACAATAATGAGTTAGGTTTAATGATTTTAAACTTAAAAGCCTTTTCTTGAATTTGTGATATTTATAATATTAAAAATATACTTATCATATAGGGGTGGTAATAATATAATAAACTTTGTTATTTACTCAATCATGTTTATTTGTAATAAATAATAATATAAAAATATTTCATTCTTCAGATATTAGTATGTTACATTAGCTGGTAATGTAATTTTAATTTTAATTGGTGTTGA